AACCAAAACTTTGAGTTCAGGTTCAGTTCAAGTTTATAAATTTAAAGTTTAGTTCAGGTTCAGGTTCAAAGATCTGCAAAATTTAAAGTTTAGTTCAGGTTTAATTAAACTTGAATCTAAATTGAACTGAACTGAACTTTGGAACACTAGCCCGAATTGTATCTCTACTTAAACTTACAGCTGAATTATACCAATCAACAAATATCATTCTATTTTGTAAATTTACATTGATTAAATCTTCACAAAGATTTAAAAATTCATGCAATGCTAGTAGAAAATGGTTTAAAGCATCCAAAACCTCAGAAGCTAGACGATATGTTGCCTTGTATAAGTTTATAAACTCCTCAAATGATGATAATTCGAATCTTGCATAGTTACTATTTAATAAATATTAAGAAAATTTGTTGTTACTTGTTGCTGATCTTTTTAATTAATACAAGTATTTAAGAACGTTTTGACGTTATATCTAAACAATAGTATATCTTTATTAATTTTTTTACTGTAATTGCAAAATAAAAATATAAAATATATTTACATTGTTTAGCATTTGGTTAACTAGCATCTACTTGTTATTCATCTGATAAGGGTTTTTAACACATTCTTTGTACAGAGATTCATATGTTTTGGTGAAGAACTCATTAATTGCACCATATTTTTTGATTGAAGAAATTATATGATATATCCAATTATACAACTTTGGAAGCCGTAAATTGGACTTGGAAAATAACAAAAAGAGTTTAGTAAACCCTTTAACCCATCTTGTGATTAACAACTAAAGAATGTTTAAATAGTTAGTCCAGCTATATATAGATATTTTTTAAATTTAAAATAAATACAACATATATATTTTAAATATATGTAATTCTGATTTGTTAAATTCATCATTTTTTGAAAACATACATTCAATTCCAATTAATATATAAGGCTACTAATTGTTTATCTATATTCTTAATCTGATTTTTAGTATAAAGATTTTTATAAAGCTTTATAATTATTCTATCAATTACAAAGACCAATTGCCGCATCATTGCTTAAAACTCTGCCGCAGTAAATCATTTAATGTTATCTAACCCCTTGTAAAACAATTTGAGACCTAGGAATCATGAAATTTTTGCTAATCTATTATCAAATTCTGTAATTCCTATTAAACTACACTATTCTCTTAACAATTCTTGTGTAAATACTACTTGGTACTTGTATAAGCCTAAATCAAGATAATGCATCTAGTCAGATAAACATGATTGATAGATATTAAAATTTCTAGAAAGGTAAATATTATAATTGTTAGATATAGAGCCTGTCAAAGCAACTTCACTATGTAGTATATTTGTAGCTACAATTTTTGTAATGTAGATATATTGTATTAATCTAATATTTAGCACTAATTTAAAAATCAAATAAAAAATACATTATACCATGAAGCCAATTCGTTAATTGCATAATATATTTTATGCTTTCGTTTTAAATTAGTACTAGAGATTAAGTTAACACAATATATCTACAATATGACAAATCTAATAGTAAAGTTACTTTGAACAGCCCATAATTATTGTCTATAAAGCTAATAATGATATATAGTATAGTATTAAATAATAACAATATATACAGAAGACCCCAAAATGAATTTTTAATATTATGTATTGAATGTTCTTTTGCTTGATTTTGCTCTATTATCTATTTTATTGTTTAGGGCATACGTAAAATAATAGATTCATAGTCGATAAATGAATTATTAAATTCTTTCTTGAGAATTAGACAAAAATAGCATAGCATATTATAGTTTACAGAATTGTATATTAATGTTATAGTTGAATGTTCAGACAAATTATCTAGCATCTGTGACAAAAATAGATAACACCAAAGTAGACCACCATCCATATATAATTCAATTCTATAAATAAAGTTTGATTTAATCAGTTCAATAATAATCTTTATCGAGCAATAGAAAAGCTGACATTTAAACGAAATAAACTGAGGTAGTTTCTTTTGATTATCAGAATCTTTGAACATTGATAAATATACTAATAATACTTTGGCATCAGATTTATTGCGATGCCAAGTAGAAATATTTTCTAATATTAGATATACAAGATGTGCAGATGTTTTCTCTAATGTATTACATGTTGTGGCATCTGAGTAAAAGATAATTGATATAACTTTTACACTCTCATTAATCAATGATTAGGCCTGACCCCACCATTTTCTACTATATTTCTTTCTATAACAATGCTCTAATTTATCCTTATCATTAGTAATTAACTTTGGCATATAATTAAAAACACAATGTTTAAATATATCAGGATTGCTTAATAGCTCTTTGATTGTATCAAAAAGTAGTCTATGATGTAATATATATTTGGTACCATTATACTTCATCATGACTGTTTTTGTATATAATATGTGTGGGATGTTCATTAAATCGAGTAACACACGATCTTGCTTTATACTGGTAGATAAAACTACATTTGGATCTATTTTATAATTATTGAACCAGCTGATAAGTTCATTATCTAAGCTGTCAGAGAGGTGATATTTCATTGCTATTTCTATAAATCGTATATATGCTAGATATAGAAATGTTAGAGATCGATATATACTAGTTGCATACAAATTCTGTACAGAGCGTATATCAATTATTGAACTACCTTTATCAATATTTGTTTGCTATGATTCATTTATCTATTATAAATTTTTATATAATTAGAGAAAAATAAGTATATAAATCTTCTGGTCAAAAATTAACTTAGAAACAAGAAAACAAGTTTCAATATGAATTTTTTTTTAAAAAAAAACCAAAGCTAAAACTAAAAAAAAAAAAAGATAATAAATAGATTCATTAATGCTTCCAAAAAAAACGAATATTTAATTAATTTCTAATAATAACAAATATGCACGATGACAAATATGCTTAAAAATAAGTTAAAAAAACAAATATGCACAATAACAAATATGTTGAAAATATTTATAGTCGATTAAATATATCGATAATTATTTTAATATAATCTCAAATGTTTCTATATCTTCCTACCATTGTTGAGCATATTCAATAGTAATTTCGTTAGCTTCAATAGCTTCATTAATTTCATTAGCTTCAACTTCATTAACATTATCGACTTCACTAACTTTATTAGTTTCATCAGCTTTATTACCAAAGTTTGTTGATTGAGGTGTTTGCTTTTCTATAGGAAGAATATTTGTTGTAGTTTCTCTTAAAAGTTGGTTTTCTTTCATATAAATTATTTCTTTATGTTTTATCAAATGATTTTTATAACAATTTCTTTGTATAAAAATTGGAGACAATAACGACAAATGATAATGCCTTTTTTCTCTCCTTTTAGATATTTATCTGCTTTGGTTCTTTTTGTTTTGTCCTTGGGCATAGTAGTAAATCACTAAAAAAAAAAGATTCATCTAAAAAAAAAAAAAGATCAATATATTTTAAATTTATCTTTTGTGGAGTTTTAAAAAAACTAAATATATTTGTATTTTTTAAGCTATATATAAAAGTCAATCTTGTTTGTTTAGTTGTAGTTTTTTTGTTCGTTTTTCTATTTTACTATCCTTCAATATCATGCATCATAATAAGAATAGAATTAAAACCAATGAACTTCAGGAAGAATTAGCTGACAATAATCTAGAAATACTTGCATTGTTGTCATTACACTCTTCATCCTCTTGTAGTCAATCATCACAATCTGAAGTAAGTTTAAGTTGACAATCTTTAGTATAATTTTTCCATAAGGTAAAAGGAGGTATTATGACGCAGTTAAGTTTTACGGCGAATATCGCATGATCTAGTAATCAGAATCGAACAATTTTGGTACCATTCGATTCGTCTCATTGAGACAAATCGAATGGTACCAAAATCGGTCGATCCTGATCACTAGATCACAAGATATTACAAATTAGAATAAAGGCTAAAAAATTAAAAAATTATGATGCAAGGACCAATTATGACGCACACGTGATATCTCATAATCTAGTGATCCGAATTGAACGATTTTGGTATCATTCGATTCGTCTCAACGAGACAAATCGAATGGTACCAAAATAATTTAATTCGGATTAGTAGATATCAAGATATGTTCAATTATCTATTAATTTTTAAAAAGTTAAAAAAATCGACTTTAACATGCTATCAATAAATTTTTTATTAAGTAAATTGTCCTTCATTATTAAGACAATTTTGTTAGTCGTAATAAATTATACTTATATTTAAATTTTTATAATAATTGGATAATTTTTTACTAATTAATTTTTATAAAATACGTTTTTGTACTAAAAGGTTGTATTGTGACGCAAAAACGTTTTTTACAAATGCCAATTAATAAAAAATTATCCGATTTTTATGAAATTTTATAAATAAGTAGAATTCATTACGGTGAACAAAATTGTCTTAATAATAAAGATCGATTTACTTAATAAAAAAATCCGCTATTAACATGTTACGATCATTTTTTATTAAAATTTATAAATAAAAAAAATTTGTTATTTTATTTAAACAACGGTATCTCGTGATCTAGCGATCAGGATTGGATGATTTTACCACCATTCGATTCAACTCGATGAGACGAATCGAATGGTAGTAAAATCATCCGATTCTGATCACTAGATCACGAGATATCACGAGTGCGTCACAATTGGTCCTGCGTCATAATACCCCTTTCACCTTATATTTAATAATTTCTATTAACATTTCATTATTATAGCTCTTTAATCAAACATCACAACAGACAAGAGCACTGCATACTAGAGTATTGTTGGCATAATTTTATTAGGACCCCGAAGAACTCTGATACAACTCAGATCCGAGTTTGTATAATATCAGCCAAATAGGTGTATAAAATAGACCAAAATTTAAATTTTTACTATATAAAAATGCAATGTTTGATGAATTTCTATGCAAAATTTCCTTTTTTAGTAACCTCTGAGTTATATCAGGGTTCTATTTTATTACTATAATATTTTTCTATGTGATATTTGAATCTAATATATTTAATTTTAATTATTTTAGTCTCATTATAAAGCATTACATCTGCTATTACAATCATCTTAATCAAAAAATCAATTATATTCTAACAGTAAGCGAAGCAATATATTTAAGATATTTTAACAAATAATTTACTCTTTTAATGCAATTTCTATTTAATTATCTATTTGGTATTTAATTTTTAATATATTTGGGTATTGTAGCCTCGGGGTTAGACAAAAAGTCCTTTATACTCTATTAGTAAACGCAATGATATTACTAGAGTAATTTTAATAAATAACTCCTTTATAATATTTTCTATTCAATATTTATTATTATTTTTTTTATAATTATTGTAGAGTATTAAATTAGAAAGCAGTTTGGCATATGAAAAACAATCACAACATTCACTTTATGAAAACAATACTTTATCAATTCCTTTAAAGCGCTCGTCTGAAGATATGCATAATAGTAATAAAAGTAATTGATATTTTTATTTTTATTTTTTTTTTTACCTTTATCTAAAATATAAATCTGTATAATTGTTAAATGTTTTATGATAGTACCAAGGTTGGCCAATAAAGATTGTCTTATGCTTCAGAAGTCAATACAATATGCAATAAATAACCTTGAGCTAGCTCGTGAAATTAAGAATGCAATATTCTGTATTAAAGAATCAATACAAAAGCTTGTCTAAACGATAACTAGTACTAATGATGATAGCAACGATATAGTATTTACAAAGCAAAAAAAATTAAGAAATGGTTCTTGGTAAATATATAGTTTGTTTATTTATCTTTAATATAATCATTAATTTTAATTTTTTTTAATATAGGAGGACATAGCTAATACAATGTTTAAATTACTTGAGATTAATAAGAATACAGATGATCTAGTAATAAAAAATATGTGTTATGATAGGCTCAAAAAGAATTATTATGAAAAATAAATCAGATTGAAATTCTCAAAGGAGATGAGATAAATATTGAGAGAACGTTATTCAAATTGATATTTTTTTTAATTTTGTATAATCTGTTACAAATATATAAAAAAATTTAATACTGTACTAACTAATAGTTATTTTACAGGCCCATCAACAATACTATATAAGATGAGCTTATGATATACAAAAGATAAAGACAATGATGGTCAATGTTCTTAGCAAAGTGGCTATCAGAAATGTTCCTAGTCAAAAGGCTTCTAAGAAAGAAGTTTTAATATGAAAAACTAGCCTAGCAATAATAGAAGCAAAATCTAAATTATAGAAGCCTGTTGATCTATCAGAAGATACTGATCTCTGTGATATATATATATACTATATTATGATTGAAGTATTTAGAAGTCATCATTCAAAGCTTAACCAAGAATTTGTCATCACAGTAATTGATATAATGTTTGATCCTACAATTACAACAACTTCTTTTACTAGTAGAAAAATCTATTCCTGAATAGAAACTCGATCTAACATTAATAGTAGTGTAGAACAAGAGTCAGGAGCCAAAGATGTAAATTTTTTTTCTTTTTTACATATTAATTGTCTTTTTTAATCCTTAATATAGAATAATGTTGAGCAATATTTCAATAAATATAAAAGTGATTCTGATTGTTATCCCAAGCTTTCACTTTCTAGTACACCCTCTTCTACTGATATAAATGATCGTAGTTGTTGAATAGAAAAGATATGAATACAAAATATATTTATCAATAATAAATACACAATCCTTTCTATTTAGTGAAAGCAATTAGCTTTTTATTTTAGATAGGGATAACGTTGTGCTAAAAGTTAAAGTGAAGATATGTAATTATATTAATTATATACTTGCTAATACAAATCTGCTATTATTTAGTATATAATCACAGTATTTAAATAGAAATATTAAAAATAATCTGAGATGTCACACATTAAAAGAGCTCATTTTTAAATAAATATATATTCAATAAAAATTTGCTATAAGTTATGAAAGCTAATCATATAATTCGCAAAATGAATTTTAAGCAAAATTTTTATGTTTTATTTTTATATATAAGTTATTTTGTATATAAAAATGAGCAGGTATTATGTTTAAAAATTGTGGCACAATTAAACTATGTCCATTTGCCAGGACCCAAGTAGAGGTTATATTAAATCTAATATAACTTCTATTATCCAATGCATGGTGATACATTACATAAGCAAATTATATATAAACAATGATCGCCCAATATTTAATATCTTATTAGATTATTACGCATCATTATGGTTTTATTAGCAAGATTTTTCTTTTTTTCTTTCTAGATAATACTCTTTGGGTTTGGTATTTATCATGCATTACTTTTTTGGTATCACTATTTGAAACATGAAATGAGATAATAAAACTAGCTGATCTTTAAAAGAGTGATAGTAAGTTTTTTTTACTGGTCTTTTTAGTTGTTAGAGCTAATATTTTCATCTTTTTTTATTTAAAATTAGTGAATTAGTACTGAAACGTGAAATAATCTGGGATGATCCTTAAGACAAGTCTAGAATTTATTGGTTTTATTTTCAGTTCCAAGAGCTATCATTTTTCTTCTTTAGATATTTTTTCTTAAAATTAGTGATAAATTAGTGCCAAAATATGAAATAAGATCAGACTAGTCTTTGGGGTAGGTATCAGTATTTTTTATTACTTTAACAAGATTTTTTTTTAGATCCTTTTTTTTTAAAAAAAAAAATTTGTATTGAATATGAAATACAGGTTTTCTTCATTAATATCAACCTATTTGAATTGGTTTTAAATCATGCTGACAGTAATATTAACGAAAAATCATATTAAAGTTGATATATCTTGTTTTGTAGCTTAAGTTAATATTAATATTAACAGAGGTAACTTGTAGTACTGTTGCTAGTCTTTAAATAAGTAATAATAATTTTTTTTGTTGCTAGTTTTGTTTTTCAGCTACTGGATTAGCATTTCTTATTTTTCAATTCTGGTGTCAACATTTACTTGAAATCGGTGAATCATTGCTAAAATATAAACTTGTCTAATAAAGGGTGTGGCGACTTAGTGAAGTGGTGAAGTTGTCACACCCCCAAGCGGTTGAGTACAAGTTCAATTCCCAC